AATCTCAAATATCTCATTATTAGCTAGATAGATTTTTTCAAAAATCCCCACAAATGGAGGCATCTAGTATATAATTATGTGGTACGAAGCATTTTAGTGTTGAACGCTCTGCAAGGGTAAATTTATTTTCTAAACGAAAACAAATATTTCATCATAATCACGTGTTATGACGTCCGATCTCACTAAAAACTGCATCAAACATTAATTCAATCTTTATGTGACTTATGTGCAAAAAAGATTTGCAATAGGATAAAAGACGTTTATGCACTAGCGTTCCAAAAGTGGAAGGTAGCGGTCAAGCGTGAGGGGGTCGAGCCACCTTAAATTTGCTCTATTTTTATAGCTTTTTGTCTCTATTATTACTGTCAAAACTCTCTTTCTCTCTGTTTTTTATCTTATCAGTTCTTGGGATCATTTTTCTTATTAATGAGTGGTTAATTGAAATAATTTATTTACAAATACTTTGTTGTCAGGTCATTCAAAGCCGTGCCATGTTTACAATTGTCTTATATACGATTCTTGTCATTAACTTGCACTTTCTTTGTTTCGCCTGTTCTTACCGTTTAAAATTCTTCTTGAATACATGTGAATAAGTTGTCTTTTGGATTTTTTCTGTTCTTTGAGAGAATGCTTTTAAAATGCCATCACTATCTCAGTAGCCAGTTGTTTGTCCGTTGAAAAGCTTGCACTTGAAAATCTCAGCGAAATCTGACGGCCGCTTTTTCGTGTTAAAATTGCCATATTTCTTCAGTTTTTACTTATCTGTACCGTTCAAAACCTCAATTCCTTTCCTTGATACAGTCTTGTCTTTTCAACAATCGATTTTTTAAGACTTTTTAGAAAACAAGCAGAGAATTCCACGAAACTTGAGCATGCACTTGTTTGTTTTTCGCTACTCACTATCTATCACAGGAAAGATAGTGTGTACGTTAGCCAATCAGATCGCAGGATTCGTGATAGTATGCTAGTAGGTTGATGCTAAATATGATTAGGTAACAAATCAATGCATCTCTATGCTTTCCCCCAAGGATACATGTATTATTGTAGAAATATTCACTAAATAGAGAACTTCCGTGTAAGTGCAATAAGTTCACTATTTATGATGAGTCAACTAAATATTCAAATGAGTTTACAAGCCACCCAATTTATCCAGCTCATACAAAATTTATGTATTTTATTGGAAGGAACGAAACAAAAAGTCTGACATAACGTGGGTGACTGCGAATAGAGTGTCAGTTCTATATATAGTTCTACAAAGGGCTTACAATTCGACTGGAGATATCAATTCTAATTATACTTGTATTTTCTTTTCTTTGTGAGTCTTTGCATATATTTTTCGACATTTATTTTAGGGCTTTGGCAAACGTAAACTTCTCTTGGTCATCGGCTTATTCAATTATCTAAAGAACATTAACATTAATATAACGTCAGGATTGCCTGACTTAGATATACGCAATCGGCTATTGTCATTCACTTGAACTCGAACTGTCTGCGCCATATTTGTACAGAAGCATGTTCATCTTATCCAAAGTAGCCATTGCCTTATTACCCATTGCCACATGTGCATCTTAAGCCTTTCGTTTTCCTTTCCCTTTAAATCGTTTTCGCTTTTCTTTTGGACTTTCGCTCTCAGCTTGCTTCACGACTTCCTGTACATCGCTTTCCTCATTTAAGCTTGATTCACCACCGATATCAGTAGACATATGACTCAACTTGGTCTTCCATCGATCTTCCGGGCTCACCTTTTTCGCATACCTCATTTTTGATGCCAGAATCTCCGACATAGGTCCTGTCACAGGAATAGAAGATTCGCTAGCAGCTTTAAGTTGACTTCTTACGATACGGCGAATACGATTAATTGCTTGCTGACTCTCTTGTTCAAGATAAAACTTTACAACTGGAGAAGACAATGGAAGCGATTCAAGATTTCTCTTAACATGTTGAAGAACATTTTCCCAACTTTCTCCGCTTTTTTCTTCATAACACTGAAGAACCAATGCTTTTTCTGGTTCAGTTATTCGTACACGTCTTTGTGCATGTGATGGACCTGTAGTATAAAATACCGAGATTAAAATATTTGTTACAAATGCAAACTTGGGTATTGATCAATTGTTCAGCTCTTGATTTTAAATACCTTTATCGTTCTTATCCATCGTAGGTTTGCTTCCTTCTAGTTTTCAGCTTTATCCCTAGGGTACAGCCAAGTGTAATTGCACCCACAGCAGGAAGAGTATTGCGGCAAATAATCAAGCAGTTTACCAAAGCTCGGCTGATGGTTGTTCTTTTAATTATTCAATTTTCACACGAGCCCATAAAACTATTCCTCATGAAGTGTGAACAACGATTTGATTGACTCATATGTTGAAGCCATGTCGCGTGTGGCTTCAACCAAAAATACGAAAAGAAGAAATAAACCAAGAGGTACAAGAAAAAAGAGACGTTTACTTCATATTTCTTTAATACTGACAAATACGCTACCGCTCATGGTCCCTCATGTACGTTCGTCAATGCCAAAGAAGAGGAAAATTAAATTTGAAAAATCAAGTGTTGTTAGTGATGATGTGGCTCCGTAAATACCCTTATCTGGATAGCCTGGCATTGTTATTCGACATAAGCATACAGACTGTGTGAGCAATTATATATCATGTGGTTACTGTCTTCGGGAGATATTTCCAAAGCCAAATTACATGGCCATCGGTTGCAGAATGGAATGCTATACGAGGTAATTGTCCATCGTTTCCAGAATGCTTTAGACCACGTGGACCAAGATGGACGCCGAAACTTTGAAGGAAGAAATTAAAAAAGAAGTTAAGAAGCAGGTGAAAGCCGAACTAATTCATCTAAATAATGCAATTAAAGAGCTAAAGGATAAATGTACTACATTAGAGAATTCACAAGACTTTATCAGTAAACAATTTGAAGAAATTACTGAAGCTTGGTCAGAGACGAAAAAGCAATCAGCTCAAAAGATCAAACCAATGGAAGTTAACATTCAAAACCTTAAAGACAAAGTTGATAAAGCCAATACTGATCTATATAACCTACATTCTGAGCTCGATGATGTTCAACAATACTTACGCAGGGATTGTATTGAAATCGTTGGAATACCGAAACTCGAGGACGACGACCCCGTAGAGCTTGTCAAAGAGTTGTGTTCTTCGATCGACGTAGAGCTCGACGAGGACGACATCTCAACAGTCCATCGATTGCCGGATACTCGTTCAGTTAAGGATCGTATGATTGCCAAGTTTGTTCGCCGTAGTAAGAAAGAGGAGGTTTATAATAATCGACAGAAGTTGCATGGCAAGACCGCGAAATCATTGCCATCAGTGAAAGCTGACAATAACAACAACAACTCGAAGTCGCGTATCTTCATAAACGAATCCCTCACTATCAACAGGAAGAAATTATTTAGCAAGGTATATGATTTCAAGAAGAAGAATCGTTACAAGCACTTATGGACAATGAATGGCAAAATTTATTTAAAGAAGGATGACTCGGGGCCAACCTACTTGTTCACAACATTGGAGGCCTTCGAAGATTTTGAATATGGTAATTATAAGTAAACTATTATAAAATAGGTCCGCCGAATAATGTAGATAATTTAAGTGACTTGTACGATTTGATTTCAAATCCTGATAGGTTTGATGACTGCGATTCTGATAATATGCTACAATTACCTTGTTCTGATTATTACTCTGTCCCTGACATTAATTCTATTTTGCAATCAGATGAGCAGCTCTCAAACTCACTATTTTTGTTACATGTAAACATAAGAAGCCTCTCAAAAAATATCTCAAGAAATATCTCGATATCATTGGTGTTACAGAATCTAGGCTAAATGATCGATCTATATCTAATGTTGATATATCTTGTTATGACTTTTTTCATGATAATTCTTTAACGAAGGCAGGGGGCACTGCAGTTTATGTAAACAAAAGTTTAAATGCAACACGTCGATCTGATATTGAACTAAATTTACGTGAAGTYGAGTCCACTTGGATCGAACTTCAGACAAACAAATCGACTGTAATAATTGGTTGTATTTATAGACATCCCAATGCTAACCTAGAAGAATTCACTAATCGTTTAGACGAATTACTGAAGGAATTTAACAACAATAAACTTTTTGAAATATATGAATCATAACATAACCGAAAATTATGTTAACGTGTTATTCAGCAATAGGAAAAAGGTGTTAAAGTTCTTGTCCTATTTTAGTGAAGTACTTATACAAATATTCTTTACTAGTATGCAACCTACATATAAAAAGTGTGAATATAAAAGTTATGAAGAATGTTTAATTAAAAAGGGAATTATTGCTTAGGACCCTTTTGATATTAATATTTCATTTAAATGGGTTTTAAACGATTTCAGCGACAATCTTTATCTTTAAAAGTAATATCATGCCAATTTCACTTCTAAAACCCTTTTTTTCCATAAAATAATCTTCATGGATAAATTCTTGCATTTCTTTGTACTCGACGTTTTTTGGAAACCTAAGACTTCCTCACTCTTTCTTTCAGTACTTTCATCACACACAGGTCCAACAGTGCTGAGCAAATCAGAGAGGCGGCAATCTGGGTAGATGAAATCAAAGGAGAAAACAAAGAAATTCATGAGACCTAATTGGCTAAAAAGCTTGACTGCTATTCCACGAATATTACATCGGCAACTTCAACCAAGCACTTTTCCACTTTTCCAACAAAAGCTAGTCAATTTCTCAAGACCTTATTTGACAAAGCATTAAGATCGACCCCAAAACCATTGGAAGAAAGTGCAACGTATAATAGTGCTGGGCTTTTATCTTACCAAACAGAAATCTTTGGCCAAGTGTCTGCACATGTTTTTTTCCTCTTCACTGTACCAGACCTTCACGTGGATTCGTAGATTGAAGTTGAAATCCAAGAAGTCATACATCCGAAAGAAATGTGGCCATGTTATCCACCAAATGTGTCTTCTTTCAGATTCCAGCAAGCTTAGAACCAAAATTATGTACAAGTCTGAGCTGAAAGCCTTATGTGTCCTGTATAAACTAAGCACTGATGGTTTAAAAGAAAAACTCTATAAACGTTTAGATGACTACATCAAGTCAAATCCAACACTTCCATGCCCGAGCTGTGAGACACAACACAATTCTCCAGCAACACGAAAATTTTGCCATACTTGCAAGCAGTTTAAATTGCCTTCCTCTGCTACAAGTAGGAGCCAGCAGCAGTAAGGGGGACTCGCGGTCAATGTCAAAGATTTACGGGTTTTACAGGCGGTTTAAGGAAGGCGCCGGCAGCGGGAAATACCCGCGTCCCGTTATTTGTTGCTGCTATGTT